TGGAGGATCTTTGAGCTGTCTTTTGACTCTTCAAAGGCTCAAAACGCATCTTTTTCCTGGAGAATCCAATAAAATTTTTCTGCTTTTTATAACTAATATGAGCATGATGTTAAGGAGGAAGCAACAGAGTCAAAGTGATACACAGCAAGTTATGAATATTCGAAAGTTATAATCATTGAAAAGCATATTTGTATTAACTCGAATTAATCTTTGTTAGGATCTGTAAAGTTGAGGATTTACGAGTCTTCTTATGCATATTCTATTTTATTCATTCTGTCCTCTCCTTGCCTCACTTGAATCCCAACAAAAAGAATGAGTTAGCAACCCTCTGGCTTTTCTAAAAGTAAATTCTTTAAAAGCTTCCCTCTGTTTGTTCAAGAAAGAATTAAAATTATTAGAGTGTAGTATTAAAATTGAAGCATATTTAAGATGAGTTTGAATTAGTTTCTATTATAATCTGCTGTTTGGTTGGACAGAGAGTTAACTGATTTTTACTTCTTAACAATTTCCTGTGTCAGTCTTTTTTTTCCCTATACTAACTTTAGGAATTTGCAACAGACTACATACTCATTGACCCCTGTAGAGTTATTTCTCTTGGAGAATCAATCTTCTTAATTACTGATTAGAATACCAACCAATATGCCCATCTTCATTGTAATTATACAATGGCTGAGGGAAAAATGACCTTGAAGGCTGTCTCTCAGTTTAATGGCGTGACTTTATTTTAAAATATAAATAACAGAATAACATTTTTCAAAAAATTTCTGATATCTAATTAACGTCTTCCTGCGTAACTGTGGTATCAAACATTTCCTCTAATTATATTCATTAGTGACTTCTCCTGGACAAGTTTTAATTAAGTTGTACAATGAAGATCAATATTCATTGTGTATTCATTGCAATTTACAACAAGCATATATACTGTTGAGAACAATTTAATTACTGTAATTGTAGCACAGAAGATACTTAGTGACTGTGCTCCATTATGCCAATCCCCACTTTTAATAAATTTGATAGTGAAATTGGAAAATGAGCTTCTGAAAACTCACATTTATATATAGCCTATGTCTAAACTTCTGTTTTTTGTGTAACAGGCTTAAGTAGTGGCGGAAATGGAAGTATTAATAATATCAGTGGCATAGTGCTTTTTCATACATGCCATCATGAATGTTAAGAAATTATTAGAGCACAAATAAGAACAGCTATAATAATAGTTATATTGGTTATGTGAAAAATAATTTAGAGGTGTTGGGGAATAAGAATACTCCATTTTTCTCAAAATAAGACTTCAAATTTTGTTACTTCTATTTCTTTAAATAGAAGTAGTATTTTGATCCATAAGGGATGCCTCCAAATATGCTAACTTCTGTTAATGAAGATCATGCTACTGATGCACTATACAAAAATTTTGGAAGTAGAGATTTTCTATTAGCATCGTAGGTATATACCAGGGTTTCTCAGCTTGGACATTAGTGAAATTTGAGCCAGATAATTATTTCCTGGGGGTGGGGGAAGTTTTGGTGTGCATTGAAGGATGTTTGGTCGTATATCTGGCTTCTTCGAATGAGATACCAGTAGCAAATACTGCCCCTACCTTCCACTTTTGATAATCAAAGATGTCTTCAGAATTTAGCATATGTCCATGTGGAGAACCACGAGTGTATGTTGATTCACACATGTCCCCCTGATCTGCCCACTGACCAAACAATTCATTCGTAAGACAAACAGCGATTTAGCTGTTTTGAGCTCAGGCTAGGGTCATAGGCATTAGTCAAATGTAGTGTTCTTTTAGGGGAAAAACACAATTTTGTGTACTCAGTGCTTTGGAGATAAGAATTGGGTGTTATTAGAATATTCAGTAATAATACCTTACATAAATTAAGGAAAAGGAGGATCAGATATGGCTTCCTGGAGAAGGCAGTTCCTGAAATTTGTTTTGTAGGAGAAATGAGGAGTTAGCAGTTCAGAAAGGGGGAAGGGCATTTGAGAAAGCTAACAAGGCATGTGCAAAACTGGGAGGTAAAAGAAAGCTCTCCCTTTCTCTAAAGATCTATATAGATCTAGACTTGGATATCTATATGTAAGTTACACATATAGATATATATCTGTCTATCTGTATATATCATTTTGGCTATTTCCCCTGGGGCATCAAATCTCAATTTTCTCTGCATTATATGAACAAAATTACAATATAGAAGTCTGCAAGTAATTGCCTAGAACATCTAATTTTCCTTCAATTTCCAATTCTGTAATGGTATATATAAATATCTACTTTGCATTGTGAATTTTATGAAATCAGGAAGGCAACTTCTGACAGTAGTGGGAAGTGACATGCATGTATTTCCTATAAACCCACTTATCTATTTTTCTGAAGACAACCTTTGACAAGATAATCATGAGATAATATACATTCCTATGGTGGCTATTTTCACACGTTTAGTAATGTATTCCAATATTGAAGATGCCCAATAAATTGTATTAACAGCCACGATAGCATTTTGAGTTCACTCGTTTACTTTCACACACATAGGTATTTTAAGCCAAAAAAGAGTAAAAATAGTAATTTAGATTAAAGTTAATTCAAGTGAAAGTAACTAAACTTTAGAAAGACATCTGGAATTCTGTTGGTAATAAAGAAGATTTCAAGATCCACATATTATTAAGAGGTCTACAAGGAATGCTGTGTTTCTCATGGCAGGCTGGTTATGAATTCTTAGAATTCCTATGCACATCAGTTTGCCACCACAGGATTAAGTTCAATTTCACTGCCGTCATCGTAGAAGGCCTTGAGTTTGCTGACTTGCTCTGCTTTATCTAGTCTACACAGATATGCTGCTGCTCAATATCAAAGGCGAATCAAATGAATCAAGATGAATAAACATAACGATTTAGGTTCTGCACTCCCCTGGTATTTAGTCATGTCTAGACACAGCTCTAGTGTCCCAGAAAAACTAAAATGAGGACAAGGACATTTAAGTTTAGTGTAGCCTTATTCCCATGGAAACCAGGAAAGCCCACAATAGAGTAAAAAGAAAAGTACGGATGTAATTGAAAAATTAGATTTAGTGGAATGACTGGAGGATTTGCAAGGTCAGTGGACAGGGGAACAGTTTTAATTTGTTTTTTTGTTTTTGCTGTTTTAAACAATGGTTTTTTCAGTTAGGTCAATTTCTTTTAAAAAGGGAATTATTGCACCAATTATTTATTTTATTATTCCCTAAAGTCAATATGATGTGTGTAGGCTCAAGATGATACAAACATTCTATAAGCACGCATTGTTATAGGTAAAGAGCTCAGAACTTAATGAGGGAAATAACAAAGTACATTGGACACACAAATTTATGTATATATGTATGTATATCGAACATGCAAATATATATGTGGTATTGAGTATATTTCTGTGTGTTTTCTAAAAGTTTTGTTTTTGATTTATCTTTAGATTACTAATATTATAGACACCTTTGTTTATAAGATATGTATGTTTGCATATGTTATATGAAATAAAATGACAGATAATAAGGGTTAAATGCACATAATTTCTACAGTGTGTAGAAAATTTTTATTTCAGTTCTGATCTTGATTTCCTCACTGATAATAACTTTATCTTATATTCTCTTATAAAAGTATTATAATACATTTCTCAGCCCATCATCTGTTAATACTGTAGTATCCCAGGCTTACACTTGCAGATAGAACCATCTTTTTGTGTGTGTGTGTTAGGAAGTTTCACCCTGACCTAACATCTGCACCAGTCTTCCTCTGCTTTGTATGTGAGATGCCTCCACTGCATGGCTGACAAGTGGAGTGGGTCCACACCCGGGATCTGAACCTGCGAACCTGGTTAAACCGCAAAGGTTTAACCACCTGGCTACAGGGCTGGCCCCCTAGAATCATCTTTTTTAGAACTGTTGGCATTTCAAGGTATTGGCTTTTGAATGTGGTTTAAAGAAGCTCCACTACCTCTGATGAGAGATAACCCAAGTGCTTCCCTTTTGGGTCCAAATGCTATGCTCATGCAAAGTGGTTCAGCTGCACGGTGTACCAGATAGACTCATAAGAGGGAAAGATATTGATTTATGATCCTGGTCTAAAGCATTTTGACTACACAACACCCTTTAAGCTAGTTTGATTTGAGGGGAACAGTAAGTGAATGTACTGAAAAATAAATACTGTGTTTGTTTGTACGTGTGCATGCACATGTGTGTACATACATACTTTTCCATGTCTTCCTTTTGAAATAATAATATTCAGACTTCCATCCTGGGAGTTTCCAAATACTTTAGGATATCAAGCCAGAATTGAGATCTGCCTTTCAAAAATGTAGCTGATAGTTCTGTAAGAATCATATTTTAGGCTTGGTTATATATAAGTAGTAGAAGATACCTTTGGGAATGCAGTGGACACAACTATAGCAACAATCCTGAGAGCTGCTGTAATTTCCTTGGCTTGGTTAAGGGTGTTTAGATTTATTTCTTAATTAAACTTGCAATTTGGATTACAGATTTCGGTTGCTATTGCAAAAAAATGTTACAAGCTTGGGAATAGTTTATTGCTGTTTAATGTAAATTATTTGTTAATTGCTTTATGACAGCTTTCCAGAAGAAAATACAGTACATTATGCCACAATTTTATGTCTGCAGCTTAATCCCAAGACCTAGAGCCTTTAAAAAAGCAGCATGGTCCCTACAGTTTTTTGTGGACCTTTCGTTTTTTCTTTTCCTTATTATTAATTCTTTTCCTTTATTCTTGTTGACCAGAAAGCACTTAGGGTGATGATTTGTTTATGTATTTTTGCTGTAATTGTTCTCCAACTGTTTATTCAAAATCACTTGTCCTCTTGCATCCAAATAATGTTTTCTTTAAATTGTAACCCTTGTATTCATCTTAATAAATGCTTAATCTAATTTCCATTATGTAAACAATATGCACTCTTAATAACTCTGTGAAATAGTGGTGGCTTTTTATATATTTCACTCAGCTTTGTGTTCTTTCTCTTTCAGTGAATTTACTGGATTCACGTACTGTCATGGGCGACCTGGGATGGATTGCTTTTCCGAAAAATGGGGTAAGCCTTTATGAAATTTTCCCTACAGCTTAAGCTGCCTAAGTAGACGTCATGCTAAATGTTGTGTATGATTGAAAATTCACTGGACATATTTGTTGTTAAAAGAGGAGGGCTATGTGTGGGTGGGGGAAGGAAGGAGACCTCAAATTAGCTCTGACCTGGAGAAGGGAGCAAATAGGGAAGGGATTTCAATGACCGAATAACAAATATTTTATCTTCCTCTCTGAGAATTTCTCTGTAAAGTAATGTGAAGTTTCCTTCAGCATTCAGGAGAGTTTCAGATTGAAACAACCCACAAACTTTTAGAATTGGTTTATGTATGTAAAAAGAAAAAGCATTTGATTTGCTGCTGATTTGCCATTATTGTAGTTATATTGGATAGGAAATAAAAGTTAACATGTCAATGACCCGTGTTGATTCCAACACTTAGGACTGACTTATTTTGTACTTCATTCCCTACATCAGGGAATGAAAATATTATAAGAAATTCCTTTAAATTCCATTGAGATTAGAAATTTCTCAGATTATCAGGTCAGTCATCCTTCAAAGGCTTTCTTTCAATTCTTAAATTTTTTCTTCACTGAAAATTTTCAGAAAAGATGTTTCATTGGAAGATTTTTATAATCAACAATTGTTTTTATTAGTAAATTATTTTACTGGTGTACATTAAAAATAGTCTTTTGGTTGAAAATTAGGTAAGCCAGTTTTTTAACAATACACATATTAATGTATTTATAATACTAACAATCCAATTAATCTAACTAATAGTACACAGATTATATTAAAAAGTGTTCCACTATCTTTTGCTCAGTTAAAAACACATCCGTATTAAGATGGAAACTGAAAGCGTAAGTGAAATATCATGACATAAAATCATTATATCACACAGAAAATATTGACCGTATTGCATGAGTATTATATTAAAAACAATTTAGACTTTGAGAGATTTTTATTATATAAAAACTTTAATATCATCTATTTTCTAATTTTTAAGCTAAAACTACCCAAATTCATTATGGAACCACCTGTGACAAAGACAAATAATATTTTCAATCCTCCACTTTAAGAAAAAAATTAAACAATTTGAATACTTAAAACTTCATAATATAGTGTATTTATGTAATTAATTTAGAAAGTTATTCACACTAATAATATTTCATATGCCTTTGAAGATTAATTTCAGTTTAAGTAATTGCATATTATAATAAATCTGGTTATAACAGCCATATAGCCAAAACTTTTAATTGTTTTTCCCATTTGATGAGTAAATCAGGTATGTTAATCAGTCCTTTACTAAGAAAGTTATCATTATGAAAGCAAACAAGTAGTATTAGTTGTTCTAATTCATAGTAATTTATATGTTAACATCCTAATCTCAATGTGTTTTCTCTTTTTTCATTAACTTGGTATTTCTTTTTGGGTGTTAAAAATTATGGTTGCATTTAGAGGTATAATATAGATAAAGTAATACTAGTAGATTGTTAAGATATTAGAACATCAGATGAACCAAATGAGAAAATAATTGTCTCACTCAGATAGCCAGTGCCAACATAATGGCGTATGTTCTCTGTCTGCCTCTCTTTTACTTTCTTTCATTTTTCTCCTCCCACCCTCACCCCCACATTCTTTTCTTTCTTTCATATCATCACCCCTATACAAGTAGATGGCTGACTAACATCCATTTATGAGGACCTATGAATATATTTTGTAGTCTGCATTTTCTCACATAGCAACAATGATTTATTACATAAATATTTTAAATTGCCCTTTCTGAGAAGATAGCTGACACATTGAGTTGAAATTAATTTTTTAAAAGCCTGAGAAAATATATCAGATTCTCTTTGAATTTAGTTTTGTGTTTCTCTTGTTTCTGTTCAGAAGTTATCAGACAAGGTTTGACAGAGTGTATCTGTGAGGGTAAATCTGATGCAATTCTTCCTACAATTAGAAATTTTGAGGGAAATTACTCAATTTTGTGCATGACTTCTGTATAAAGCACAATTGATTCCTTTATAAAAAACATAATCCCTTTGTATCAGGAATGAATACTTTCCGATCATTCAAACACTTCATGCTTTGTTTTTCTTTCTATTTTAATTGTTAGTATAGTGTCAATTTTGTTCAGGATTTTTGAGTATTTTTTTCAAAATTCTTGTAATTTTTTGAGTGATATCTCTTTTGATGTATCTATGCCTGATGTTAATAGTGAAGAATAAGAAGCTAATTTAGAGAAATTTAGTGAATTTGAGCTTGTCCAACTATGAGGAACGTGTGTGGAATCTAGGTGTTATATTTTGTGTTACGTCACTGAAATGCAAAATGAAGGAAAATTTTAAATTATATTTTAAAGAAAATGTGCAAAGTACAAGTAATTCTAATAAGAAGTATATATACTTTTAATATATTGTTCGTAGGCTGTGCCATTTATGATTTGATAAGTGATCTAATTCCAGGAGAAATATAGATCCTCAGAGGGATGTCAGCAAAAATTGTGGAGTAAGGGCCTCTGAAAATTTCCTCCTCCATAAAAGCCATGAGAAAACTGACAAGCATTGTCAGAATCAACTGTCTAGAACTCTGGAAATTAACCAAAGTCTTGGAGCAATCCAGGGAACATTTATTCAAGAAAAGTGATGAATTTTGTTAGAACAGCTAGCTTTATGGCATTTTGAGGTGCTCTATGTCCTTCCTTGCCCCTCCAGATGTGAGGTTCCCTTGAAAACCCAAAAATCTGCCATCGTGATGAAAACCAGCAGTCTGGCAAGCACTGATGGGGGCAGAGTGAAGTAGGAGGTTCTTCAAAGTCTTGAGCCCAGAGAATTGTCATTATTTGACCTGCTAGCTCCCTGGAAGACTGCTCTTGTAAGGCTGTCTTGATTTGATCTGACTCAGCTCTCCCAGTCCGAAAGCCTTTATTATGCTAAGTAAAGAAGAATATTCTTTTTTCAGAACATTTTCCTGAACTTCAGGCCTTAGGAATGAATATTTTAGTATTTTATTTCTTAGACTGATAAAAAACACTCACCAAATCTGCACCTAAGAATTGGGAAAGTACTTAGGAGAAACGCTGTTACTCATTCCTTGTAGTTATGCACGCATTCCATACGCTTCCTAGAAACAATCATGGCACCTGTAAAACTCTTTCGAAGCTTGTAAGCTCCTAGGCTTCTTGTAGCTATCTCTTATTTACCACTATCCAGTGTTTCTAAAACTTGGCTCTGGTGTATAATAGAATAATAAGTATTTCTTGGAAAGATAACTTTTTTCTTTTGAGGAAGATTAACCCTGAGCTAACTACCGCCAATCCTCCTCTTTTTTTGCTGAGGAAGACTGGCCCTGAGCTAACATCCATGCCCATCTTTCTCTACTTTATACATGGGATGCCTACCACAGTATGGCTTTTGCCAAGCGATGCCATGTCTGCACCTGGGATCCAAACTGGCGAACCCCGGGCCGCTGAGAAACAGAACATGCAAACTTAACTGCTGCACCATGGGGCTGGTGTTTTTTTAATTTGTAAGATGGGGTATAAATTACTGAGATATAGGTTTGCATGAGGATGAAAAAGTGGGACCAAGAGTAGGGCTTGGCAAAGGTTGGTACTCAGTAAACATTCTTTCTTTGACCTTCTGTTGCATTTCTTTTCTCCTCATACTAAGAGATTCACCAGTCCATCAGGTTTTTTGTTTCTTTTTGCATATATCTATATGAATTTATTGTCGGCACTTAAAGAATGGGGCCTTCATGTAAAATCTGAATTTTTCTATTCAGTTGGAAGTTTCAGAAAGCCGGAGCTAACTGCCTCCTATGACCTCAACAGCCCAAAGCTGAGTAAGGGCTGTTCTTTTAAGAGAGGAAGCAAATTCTCCTGTTTGACTTGGTTTTCCACCTTACACCCTTCGATCATTTAAGTTGCCAGTCTATAATGTTGACACTACTGCGGAGTCATGTCATGTTTTTAATATTGCACAAGCATCAGGATTTTCTTTTGTTTCAGGAGGAACTTTGTTTTTTAAAAAGTTCTCTAATTGTTACTTGCTCAGAAGGTTTCTTCCTAGTTTTGTTTGAGTGCTTCACTTTAGTTAGGACCTATCATTTGAATTTGGGCTTCAGCATGTGCTTTTTTAGCCACAGTGTATCAGATAGACTGTATGTGTGTGTGTGTGTGTGTGGGTGGGTGTGGGTGTGTCTACCTCACAGTAGTAACTTGAACTCTCCTTCTGTTTTTTTATTCTGAATATATCTAGAAGTATTATGTTTCAGTAAAGTTTGATTTTGTGCATATTTTCTGGATTCATTCATTCAATAGATACGTATTGGCACTTTGCATGTGCCAGTCACTCTTCTGGGCACCAGGGTCATAGCAGTGAAGAAAGAAAACAGAAGTCCTGACGTCCTGGAGTATGAGGCTGCATTGTTATTTTCAGAATGAGTAGTCAGAGTGTTAGAGCAATGTGGTAGATGAAATGCTGTCTAGTTCTATCTCTTCTTTCTATACATATACAAAAGTGTCAAAGAGGTGACAGCATTTGCTCAAGGTCATTCAAGTAGTTTTTGACACCAATGGGAAGAGCATGTGTTTTGTATTTGGCACATGTGGTGTCGCATAACTGTTTCTAATTGTCTTGCCATGAAAAACATACTCTGTCATGTATATACATTCATTTAGTACTAAAGATGACAATGCAAAAAGAGATGCTTAGTAATCTTTTTGCAGTTGAGGAAAATGAGGCTCAGTAAGAGTAAGTGACTTGCCTAAGGATATGCAGTTGGCAAGAGACTGAGGCCATTTCAAACCTAGGTCTTCCAGGACCCTGATTATTTAAACTAGAGGTGAGCTCTCCAAACAGTTAGGTCTCCCGAGATTTGACTAGGCTCTGGATGGTGCCCTGACTTACAGTTTATATAAGGAATTCAAAAAAATATGTAGCACATAGGTGCTCAAATATATAAGTTGCGTTTGTTATATTATGTGTATATAATAAATATGATTAGATAAA